TGCAACGCTTTGGTCGAATTCGATGAGTGTCGAGGTTAGAGGGTCGATAGGTCAGCGGAGTTCGATTGTCTCCGGATTCTAGATCGTTTTAATTTAAATAATTTATACATCGCGTTTCGGTATGAGCAATTGATTGCCGACAGTCTTTCCGTCTCTCGATCGCGTCGACTCGCTAAAAATATCGATTGAAAGAAATCCCCCCACCCCCCTCGCCCTCCCCCCAAACCCCCCAGGTCAACGAAGCGTTGTTTCTCGGCAGAATATAAATTATTTAAACGACCCGCTCGCCCCCCCCCCCAAAAACACGAATGGAACTTCCGGTTGATTCGCGTTCTCGTTTTCAGGCAACCGGAAGTGAAGGAAAAACGCTGGACTCTGACCGTTCTTGAAAGAAATTTCGCACCCCAGCCCCGAGGAGGGCTCGATTCGCTCCTCGAGGGTTGAATCGAGTCGCTGCTCGAGCGCGAATATACAAAAGAAACAAGAAAACGGAAGTCTCTTTTTTTCCGGAGAAAGCGCTAGTTAGGGTTTCGAGTCTTTTTCACGGGGCACAGTTCGACGCTTTCGGAAAAAAAATGATCGTCGACGATGGTTTCGCGAGTCGAAATTCTCGAAACGAAAACGAAAAAACGGAAGAAGCCCCCCGCACGAAGCACCGTGAAACTCACACCGCGTGTCCAGGAAATAAACCAAATTCCCCGGGACACCCTTTATAATATCCTGCAAGGGGGGGCTGTTTCTCGATCAGCCCCCCTCCCCCCAAATTCCCAAAATATTGAATCGTTTTTTTTTTAAACATCCCCTGCACAGGTTCCTCGCCCCTCTTGTTTCCCTCTTGTTTCCTCGTTTTGAATAAATTTTACATGTGCCTTGTGTGTGTATCGTCTCGATGCTCATATGTGTGTGTGTGTGTGTGTTTGTGTGTTTTCGTCGCATATTCAGACAACATTCACCTTCTCTCTCTCTTTCTCTCTCTCTCTCTCATACAGCATCGCGCGTACTCGCTCTTCTATTCTCGTTCACGCATTTTTTTTCTCATTTTTTTTATTTATTATTATTCGTTTCTCTTCCTTGTATTCTGTATGTTTTTGTTCTGTCTGTTTCTTGTTCTGTTTTTGTTTTTCATCTTTTAGTATCACTATAGAGTTATCGTAATTAAATATTTATACACCCATTGACAAACTAGCTACAACGTTTTTTTTTTTTGTCGTTTAAATACAGTTCCATAGATATCAATTAATTTAATTAATTAATAGTTATTATAATAAGTTTACGATAATTAATAATTAGAATAATCAAAACATGTACAGAAGATTATAGATTATCTTTTCCTTCCCCTCTGCCCCATCTTTCCCCTCCCTTCTTCCTCTCTCCGTCCCACCCCCCCGCCCCATTCAATCCACGCACGTCGTCCCCCCGCCCCCCTCCCGCCCATCGCCCCTTTCATCTTTTTTTTTTTTGTAATTTTTTTCGTCTTTTGTTATAGAGTAGTCTATCAGTTTTTGTTGATCGTTGTGTTACTCGCGCTCGGAGTAAATTTCTCGAGTACTTCTTCTTTTAAGTTATTTTCTACCCCCTTTCCTTCCGTACCCCCTCTCGCAGTCTCTCGTGCCCACTCACGCGATCAGTCTCTCTCGTTCTCTTTAGTCTTTGTTCGCTCGTCAGGAATCTCTCAACTTTCTCCCCATCACGCCCCCGTTAATTAGTTAGCTTAGTATATAAATACTTTTCATCTTTTTTTCTTAGTTAGGCCTACGGTGAGCTGGAGCTGCATCTGCTGCCGCGACAGTGTCTCCCTCTCTCTCCACGACTCGCGTTTAAAATAATTTCCATCCTCCCGCGCCCGGATAACTGCACTCTCCTCTCTATCACTCACTCACACTCACCCCCCCTTCACTCTTTAATTTTCTGCTCGCCTGGAGGATCGAGTACACCGCCTTTACGATCGAAGAAACGGCCACCCCTGACCCAAGAAAGAAAAGACGGACAGCCTCCATTCTTTTCCCTTACGAAGAAAACAAACCTCCCCATCCCCCCAGAAAGATCGAAGACATCGGAATCGCGGATAACCGGAGGAGACATCGAAGAAGAAACCGACGAAACGCACCGAAGAGATTCCTAAAGGCGGTATACCGAAAGAAAACAATAAAAAGAAACCGCACGCGTATGCAAAATGTCCCGTAGCCTATTTTTCGCTTCTCACAGACTCGCGGAGCCGTTAATGGCGACGAGGATTACCCTAAACGGTAGTTCAAACGCTCTCGACTCTCCAGAGTCCATCGATAAAACATATCCTCTGACGTCCTGGAAGTTTCGGGCCAGAGTGTCGCGATCGTTGCTAATTTATCATTGCCTAAAGTCTCAGTCTCAGCGGTATGCGTGTCGCTTCGGTACAAATTGGAAGAGGATTTTTCTTTTTACCCTTTTTGTTCTGGTTTCACGGCTCGCGGCCATCGGAGAACGTTAATACCGTTTCCTGTCGTTGTCTGTCGCGAGCGTCGTCGATCAAAGATGGCCGACTGCGGGGACGAAACGAAGACGACCACGAGCTGCACCCGACGACCGTGAGCGACGCGGACAGCGCGATTGTGCGTTGCGTTTCGTAACTAGCGCGATCCTGGCGGGATAATTCGAACCGGTTTGCGACTCCAGAAGGTTCTCGTTGGCCCTTTCGCTGTGTGTTCTTCTTCAGTGTCGTCGACGATGAGCACTCGTGATCGTCGTCGTCGTCGTAGCGATGCAACTAACGATTACTTGAAAATACAATGCACATAATGTAATATCTAATAGCCATATTTGTTAATATAGGTTTGTAAGTTCAGATGTTACCCATCTCTCAGTTCTCTCTTTCTTGCTCACACTCTTCTAGCTTCTCACAGACTCCTCTCGATCACTCATCTTTACAGGGAATTCCCCGGTAAGAACGGGACAGGGCGCGTGATAAAACACCAAGGATGTGGTTTCTTGCTCTCCGACCGTATTGTGCGTTTAGGGTTTCCGGTTTACTGTGCGCGAAATTGAGCAGCTTCCCTCGAAAGAGGAGAAGAAACAACGTTAGAATTGTGTCTCGTCCCCTTTCGAATCTTCAACGTGGTACGTAAGTTCGCCGTGGCGCCACGTTCTCGTCCCAAGATGGCGCGCGTTTTCGATAGTCTTGTCCTCCGGGTGTCGCGAGCCTTCCGGTCTTCGCTGGTTCGTTCAAACGTCGATCGGTACCGGAAATGGTCGGTTCTTCCGGCACTTGGCGAAATACACACACACCCAATTGCAACGAATTCAAATATAATTGTGATTGTACGAACCGTGCGATCAGAAGGCCCGGGGCGAATCGTTCGTGTATACACACCCACGCACACACGCGTGCCGTTTATCATACTAGTCAGTCTGAGTAACGAGGAATGTCGGGAAGAAGTATATCGGGGATGGAGAGATATGTAGATGCACCGTGGATGACTGTCGGATGGGTGGGCCGTTGGTGGCAACTGAAACAAGTAATCGAAATAAAACGAACGACGTATTCGAACCAAACACAAATCAGTTTAATCCTTAAATAAAACATAATTTTTTTTTGTTATGTTATATAATAATTAAATAAATAAATAAATAATCGGTAGTAGTAGTAATAGTAGTAGTAGTAGTAATAGTAATAATAGCAAGTAGTGGTGGTGGTGATAGTTATAGTAAGTAATGTTATATAGCGGGGGGGGAGGGGGGTGGTAAGAAAATAGCGATAGCGGATTTGTTTAAAAGTAAAATAGTGTTAGAGTTTTTTTGTTCACTTTTGTTGATGGTTGTGAGAGTAAGTTAGTAATAAGGTGTTTAAGGTTACACGTAGCTACTAGACGAGAGATACAAAAAATATATACGATCATAATTAATAGCAATGATAATAATAGTAATAATAATAATAATAATAATAATAATAATAATAATAATAATAATAATGATAATAATAATAATAATGGCGATGACGATGGTAATAATAATAATAATAATAATAACCAGAATAATAAATGTAATTAATATACTGATAGTAATTATGAGGAGTAGATTAATTGTTTATAATAGTAAATGTAACTGCACGTGGTGTATGAATTCGCACCCTAAGTCGCGGAGAAATTCTCTTACCCGCGATTCGCCCTTCGTTCCTCGAAATTCGTACGCTTCCGGTTTCCCCCATCACCCAATAAAAACATCCGTCTCGACCCACCCACGAGAACGAAGGGCGGATCGTTTCGATCGAATAATTTTTCTCCGCGTACGCCTCTACGCCAATGCACGCCCCGACGCCACTGCATCGTCAGACAGTGTATAATAATTTGCACTAATCATCGAGATCCTCTTCGCCCCGGCGCGAGACTCAGTTCGTCGACCGGGGTTTTCAAATAAATAAAATAAAAATCTTAGCTGATAGCATTTGTTGCTTGAGGTTGAAAATTACGTTTCATTTGGGAAAACCCGAACGCGGGCCCCCCCGAACGCGCCGCCATTTTCACGTTTCACTTTTTGCCCACGGTCGCGCCGAGGGGCCCGATCCCTCGTTCCCGGACTAGACACAAGAAGGTACACATAAATAGGACAACATATACACGCTACGCTTTCTTCTCTCTCACGTAAATATACTAAATCTAAGAGCTTAAGAAATTGTCGCTTTACTCGCGATTAAGTACATACAAAATCCGCGTACGCTCGCGCTGCGCCGCAACGACGCGACCGTCTCCCGCCACTCCGCGACACTCGCGCGCCACCGGCCAGCGATCGAACTACACGACTCTGCGCGCGCGCGCGCGGCAATTTCAAACCGCCGCGATCGGGAAAAGCGACGAAGAATTCGTTGGCCTAGATTTCCATTAAGCTGATTCGTCCAGGGGACATTCCATAGTACAATAGAGTAGTAATTAACGAAATTAAATCGGCATTAATCAGTCCCGTATCAAAGTTTACAAAATCCAATGATTTTTACAAGCGAAAACTTGTGTTTTCGTATCAAATTGCCGTTTAAAATTCTTCAAGCTTTGTTCCTGATATTTTAGTCGTTGGGATTCGCGCGAGCGACACCGGTTTCGCTTACCTTACGCATCGTACCGCCTAAATCGCGCCTTCTTATCGATCCTGTCTGATTAACCTTAATACTCTAAAAAGATCTGTCGTTTTTTTTTTTTTTCTTTTTTCCCCGTGGAGAGTCGTTTACTCGCGTTCAGCGGCGTACAGCGCCCCCTTTGCACGTAGACTAGACACGCGTTGCGACGATCGACGGGATCATTCGTTCGCCCCCCCTCGATCTGTATCACATTGACCGTGCACCGTCTCGAGCGTGTACGATGATAATATTGCAAGCACATCTCGTTCATCGAATATCGTTTTGTACGTTAGACTTGTGTTTTTTTTTATATATATATATTTTTTTTTATCTTTTTTTTTATCTTTGTATTTTTAAAAAGAAAAGTAAGCGAACGAACCCGTTCGGCGTTTTATAAAAATTGGAGTATTTCGGCCGCGAAACGGCGGTTCCCTTTCACACACGTCCCTGTCGCGCAAGCGCGTTCTTTTTTTTTTAAAAAAAGGCGCCAACGAGTTTCCTACGAAACGGTGCACACTCGAAGGGACTATTTTTTTTTTTATACAGAAAAAGCTCCGGGTAAAATCAGACTGCGCGCTCGAGAATGCACTTTGTACTATAGCTAACACATCTCGCCTATACGTAAAGAAGAAAAAAAAAAAAAGAAAACAAATAATGAAAATAAGGTCCTCGCATTTTGACCAACGCGACCAGCTGCGGATCTCTTTGGCCAGAACCGACAGAGAAGTACAAGAGCTTGACTAGCAACGAAAAAAAGTACAGTTTTACGTAACCGAACGAACGTAAAAAAAACTCGGGTCGAGCGTCTCGATGTCCTCGTTTATTACCGCGGGATCTATCGAGATCTCTCGTATGCACGTGAGCCCCTAAAAAGTATCTCCTTAAATAGCGTACGATAATATATAATTCGTCTTTCCGGTACTCGTCGACGTCTTAAATTCAACTACGGATTTTAAATACGGAGGATTAAGATTTAAGTACGTTCATCGTTCTCTTTAAATTTTTCTTTGGTTTCCGCGTAAGTCGCGCGCGAGAGAACTACTTCGCTGATCGATAGATCGATCTTGTCCCCGTCCCGTTCTCGCCTCACGGCCTGTCCATCCTTTCTTTCGCATCAGACACGATCTACATCGTCCATTTTGTCCACGGAACGTTCACAGACGCGTTCAACACACATTCAAACAATGTGCAATTTTCATTTCCCTTTGTCTATACTTTGCAATAGAAATATCGTTTCTACGTAGACTGGATTATGTTTAACTCGGGTTTGCCTCGTGCACGTTCCGTGTTTCGATTGGATACAACCACCCACACTTCTAGTCCGCCATTTTGAACGCGAGATGCCTCGTTTAGAATCGTCTCGACCCCTCAACGCTCGTCCGTTTCAGTCTGGCCGCCAATCCTTGTACATCGAATGAACAAACCAGCGTTACTTCGGTTCAGTCTTCGTTCTTATAGTGCCTTGTTGTCTACTTTAGAGATTGATTACACCCCCCGCGCCGTCAGACGCGCGCTATTACTCTTTTCAATAATCGAGAATCTAAAACTGTGTTGCCCCTGTTATAAAATATATCGTGCACGGTTTTCAACCGCGGTTACGCCCTCCTATTTCTCTCTTCATCCCGTTAAAAATACGCGGACCGCCCGAAACTGCAGAATGTACGTTCCCACAACCTCAGAAGACGAATGATCTGTGCGTGTGAGACCTTGAAACCTGTTCGAGCGTTAAGGGGTAGCAGCCACGTCCTCGAAACGCGGGATCCGTGGCTTCGATGAGATCACTGCGAAGGGAATTCGATCGGAAAGGCGTGGAAAAGCCACGTTCCCGCGCAGCCCTCGACCTCCCAACGATCCTCCGCTTCCGGTCGAGCCGAGAACGCGGCTCGGAGGTTCTTAACACATTACCGACCGATAGCCTATTAATCGACCTTTTTACCGACCAACACATTACCGACCGATAGCGTACTAATCAACTTTTTTACCGACCAACGCTTACCGACCGGTAAAGTGTTAATTCCGGAACCTCGTCGATCGATGCTCGTTATTTTCGCGTCGAATTCCGTTTCATGCTCACAGCCTGACGTCGGTGACTCTTTGGTGTCGTGCAAGGGGAGGGGGGAACGGAGGTGTAAAAGAAACGAGCACCGGAAGTCGCGACCACGCGTCCTTTATCGCGTGTCGCGAGCTCCCCCGGTGATCGTATCTCTCCCCGTCCACCTCCCCCGGTTCTACGCAGCCCTCGCGCTACTTTCATCGATCCTCGCCGGAAACTACCCCCCATGTGCACCAGCGCACGTATTATTATACAGATACAGGGCCGTTCCGTGGCGTGTGGGACTCTGCGTACGAAAAAACAGTGAAAGAAACGCTCGTACAAACGTGTGCCTTCTTAATGGCTGCTCTAGATGGCGCTGTTATTCTAGATGGCGCTGCTTCGTTTCAGGCGTTCTGTGGCCTTCCCCCGGAAGAGGTTCCCAGCAGAATTGGAATAGAATTTCGTTCGCCACACGCAACGGCAGGGCCCGTAAAGCTACCGTGTGTCGAGCTGCCCGAAAAAAGAGAGGGACAACGGGGAGCAGAACGGAAAGAAAATGCCAAGTTCCTCCACAGGTTGTCTCCGCAGCCACGGTCCACGAGATCTACTTGCCCCGTCGGTTTCCTCCTCGACCCCCGAACTCTACCCCCTTCTGGCCCACATACATACACACGCACACACGCAGCACGTAACCCATACTCACGGCCTCTCTATCTCGCCATACACGCACACGTGCACGTTTTGCACACCTCTCTATCTCTCTCTCCCTCTCACCCCGTCTTGTTCCGCGACATCGTAGCCCATCGACGTAACAGGGATCCCGTCGTCGTGGTCGTATCCTGGTCTAACGATACCTCCGGGCCTCATTCGTCGAAGCAGGCTGACAACCAGCAGTTCTCGTCCGGCGTGTCGAAATCGGAGTCGGTTATCAAGTCGTACAAGTACTCGTAATTGCGCGGCGGTCGGTACACCGCGCCCCTGACGCTATAACGAGTTAGTTGGTTCGGTTGGTGGTCCATCTTCTTACTGGAAGCATGCGCGATTGCCGCGAGCGCCTCGACGGTCCTCGGCGATGGCGTCGTGATCACAGCGATCGCGGCGGTCGCGGACGTCCCCGAGGCCGTGGCGGCGGTCGATGAAACGATCACGTCCGTGTTCGTGGTCGTACTCGTGTTCGTGTTCGTGGTCGTGTTCGTGGTCGTGGTTAGATCCGTGTTCGTGTTCATGTTCGTGTTTGTGTTTGTGTTCGAACCCGTGTCCGTGTCCGCGTTCGTGGCTGTGGTTGCGTGGAGTTGTTTGCGTTGTTGTTGCTTGTCCTACGACGCCTTGCTCTTGGTCGTCTTGAAGCTGACTTGGAGTACCCGGTTACCGAGCGTGTAACCGTTCAGGCTCTGTATGGCGACCACCGCCTCGTCGTAGTTGGTCATCGTCACGAAACCGAACCCCTTGCACTTGTTCGTCTGGAGGTCGCGGATCACTTTGACCGACTGGACGGCGCCGAACGGACCGAACAACTGCCACAGCACGTTCTCCTCGGTCTCCGGCGCCAGATTGTAGACGAAGATGCACCAGCCGGATCCGTTCATCGCGTGTCCGGGCAGCATCGAGTTCGCCAATAGATCGCCTGTTAGCGGGCTATACCTGAAACAGTCGAAAACGTTCACCCATCGACGATTCGCGCCACCCAGGCCATCGATCCTCCGCCGTCGTTCCGAGCATTGCAACCGGGAACGACGGTGTCGCTTTACGGCGATTTCAATTACGCGCGCAAAAACGACGGGAATCATGGGATCTATGTTCCTAACCTCCACATTTAACATCCATATCATTAATAAACTAAACGACTTTTATTCTTAACTTTTACTCGATATTAACCCCCAAAATACAAATAAACAGATATGAAGATTGATATAAACGATTTTAGACCTTAAAATGATAAACGCAAATACCCAGAAATTGAACGTCAAAATTTGCAAGTCATCCATGTTTAATCATACGCCATTTTCTGTTGTAAATTAAATAAAGGGAATTATGGGATTTACGAATGTTCCTAACCTCCATATCATTATATTTCTCAATCTTAACACATTACCGACCGATAGCCTGTTAATCGACTTTTTTACCGACCAACGCTTACCGACCGATAGCCGATTAATCAACCGCTACCGGTCGGTAAAGTGTTAACAAATTAAACGACTTTTATTCTTAGCTTTTACTCGATATTAACTCTCAAAATGCTAATAAACAGATATTAAGATTGATATAAACGATTTTAGACGTTAAAATATTAAACGCAAATACCCAGAAATTTCTTTTTTCTTACAAAAATCAGTATTCAACGTAAAAATTTGCAAGTGATCTATGTTTAATGTTACAAATTAAGTAAACAGCGATAGTCTGCGACCAACAAAATGGCGACTCAGCCCAGAAACACCCGAGGTTCGCGTTGTCTCGCGAGACAGTAATTATTATTGAGGGGACAGATGCTACCAAAGTCGTGCGAGGGTTCAAATCATTTACACTCTGAATTATCGTAAAAAAAATTAATAATAAATGACAAAGAAACGCTACTGCCTCGTTGGAGAGATGAAGTACAGAAAAGAAAAGATCGTCATGCAAGTCTACGCCGGAAGTCGAACGTGGGGGGTGGGGGGGTCTCGACGGACTGAAATTTTAATTAATAAAGGTAAAACTGAAAGAAAACTCGCGGTGAACATGCAACGTGGACGGTCGTTAATCGACATGCGGAAATTACGAACACTGAATACATCGACGGGCGTGTAGGTGAACGTAGAGTATATTTACAGACGTAGAAAAAGTGTATCTACGTACCTGCTTGTGGTCACAGCCGCGTTAAAATAGGGTACATCTCAGTGAGTTTTCAGTATAGTGCCGGGGGTGGTGAACAGTAATTACGTACACATTCGTTACAAACGCTCGTTAGGAACCGCGACTTTCATACAAACACGCGCGTATATACACGCGTCGTCTTCGTCGGGGGTGGTTTTTCCTTAATGACGCGGGGGACGGACTCGACCCCTAACAAGCGTCTCCCTTTCTTCCGTAAATTTCTTGGAATGAAAAGATATAAAAATATCGACTAATTTACGATTTTTGGAAGAGAAAATCGATTAGGGGTGGAGTTCATCCCGCGACAATTATGAGAATTGGTATCCCTGAAACCAGAGATGAGCCAATTGTCAAGATAGAGTAGAGTTCCGATTATCTGGCACCCGCGGTTGTGTTTAATAAAAATACAAAAGAAATTTTTAAGAAAAATCGAGAAGGGGCAGGTGGAGAAATTTTTGGAAATTAAAAAATTTTGAATCATTTTGAAAAAATTATTTTTAGTTGCAGGGGTCAATTACGATCATTTTTGGTGAATAGACATACCCCCGAATTGCTACCCATTTTCGAGAAAAAAATTCGAGTAGGAGGAGAAATTTTTGGAAATTGAAAAATTTTGGATCATTTTGAAAAAATTATTTTTAGTTGCAGGGGTCAATTACAATCAGTTTTGGTGAATAGACATACCCCTGAATTGCTACCCATTTTCGAGAAAAAAATTCGACTAGGTGGAGAAATTTTACGAAATTAAAAAATTTTGAATCATTTTGAAAAAATTATTTTTAGTTGCAGGGGTCAATTATGATCATTTTTGGTCAATAGATATACCTCCGAATTGCTACCCATTTTCGAGAAAAAAATTCGAGTAGGAGGAGAAATTTTTGGAAATTAAAAAATTTTGAATCATTTTGAAAAAATTATTTTTAGTTGAAGGGGTCAATTACAATCACTTTTAGTGAATAGACATACCCCTGATTTGCTACCCACTTTCGAGAAAAAAATTCATTACTGATAGTATAATTGCAGGTCAGAAATGTTACTCCAAAATTTCGTGCGTATCTTTAAAACGTCATAACTTTTGAACGGATCGAAGGATTTTAATGTTTAAAAAGGCAAACAACGCGTATTTTAGTGGAGAATATGTAGAAATTCCAAAAATATTCGAAAAGTTGCTCCTTAACCCCGTGAAGTGAGGAGAACCCCATAGAAATGGTCCAATTTTCAAACAGCCATAACTCCTATAATAGTGAATATATTTCAATGAAATTTTTTTCTGAAATAGAGCTCATGGGTACCTATAAAAAAGTATTAAACAAAATTTCCGTATCGCGCCAAACAAATTGATTAAAAATGGAAAATTAATTTCGAAGGAATATCGACAGGGGGAAGTCCCTAAATTTTTCGACGAAAAAAAAAAAAATTTCAAATCGTTCTAAAAAAATTATTTTTAGCTAGGGGAGTCAATTACACTAATTTTTGATCATTAGACATAACCCTGAAATTCTACCCACTTTCGAGAAAAAAATTCGAGAAGTTGTGAAATTTTTCAACAAAATTAAAAAATTTCAAATGATTCTAAAAAAATTATTTTTGGTTGCAGGGGCCAATTACAATAATTTTTTATGAACAGACATACCCTCGAAATCCTACTCAGTTTCGAGAAAAAAATTCTTTACCGAAAGTATAATACTTGAGATATAATATTCCTCGTTTTTATCACTTCAAATGTAGGTATAGTACAATTATCCGGCATATTTGATATTATAGCATTGCCCCAGGCTCCCAGTGTGCCACATAATCGGAATTTTACTGTCCAAAAAATATTACTTAATATTCTGTACGAATTTATTTCTTCGAAATTGCCCATCTCTGCCTGAATCTTCCAGATCGTGTTATGGGGGAACGACCTCTCGCAATTATTCGAACGTTATAGTCGTTTCTTCTGGCACCGGAAGTCGTAGACACCGTTGGTCCATCGTTCTCAAAATGATCGAGTGCGATTCTTTTGCGGTATGTGCGCCAAAACGAAATAATATATCTACGATTCGGTGAGTTCGATTCTTTTGTGAGATCGTGCATCCTGCTTAGCTCTTCGATCACTCTATTTCAAAGATCATCACGCATTTTTTATTGAAATTACAATCTAATCAGAATACTTAATGCGTGTGATAATTTATGTGCACAGAAAAAATAATTAAAATGATTAAAATATATCTCATATTCAACTGAGATTTCTTTTCATTTTAATTGATCTATAGATATTGAGAGCGATCGCTGGTGCACGGTCTCGAGCCACAATCGATTTATACAGACAACGAAAGAAAAGAAACAACAAAACAAGGGAGAAGAAAATGCGAAGCCTGTCGAGGAACGTTGATTCGAGTCAGCTGCGATTTCGTGCAACTAAATCGCAGACAAGATCGCGACGATCTATGGATCTATCCAGAAAGATCGCTCGTAATCCGTCTGTACGGTCCCGGCGCGACTGCATCGACTCGTTTCTCATTTCATTCCTCTCGATATATCGATATATATCGATACTCGATACGAGTACAAGGAAATCGAGAGGTCGATTCGGTCGATAGATCGACAGAATCGACCTCTCGAAAAAACGTTTACGCGTATGTATGCTCGGTGACATCACGTAGGGCAGAGAAACGCATCAAGGCTGTCAACTCAAGAGACACGAAAATTAAACGAAGGAAAGAGAGACGAGAGAAAATAGAAAAGCGTGAGACGAAAAGTGAGAAAGAGCCTTAAAAGTTTCATACAGGATTAAAACAATTCACAGACTCTCCCAAAATGGCGGAATACATAATAAATGAAATAAATCAGCAATATTTTTATTATTCCCTTGGAATCTACTTTTTCTTTTTTTTTTTAGAGAAACTTTCTTCTACAGAGACTGTATGAAATTTTTAACACGAAGCACGTGGGGAGGATACAGAACGAAGCCACACAAACAAGAACGAAAAAAAACTCAATACGAAACGAAAGAACTGGGAGGGAACGTAGTGGTAGTAACGAAAAAAATACTGACCTCTGTAAGCCTTTGTTAATGGCAAGCATGGCCTTGCCAGTGCTAAAACAAAACACAAAAAGAACAACGTAAGAAGAGAGATACTCCGGGAACGAGCCAGAAAAAGGTCGGGATAAAGTGTGTGTCGCTTCCATAATTTTTTTTTTTTTTTCTCACCGAACTACCACCTATGGTGCCTCTCCGTTTGCTTTTCTCGTTAAATTTGGGGGGAGGGAAAATTAAAACGCAGACAGACAGACAAAGACGAGAACAGAGAACGGAAGATACAGCGAGAGTGAAACGTAAGAAATGATAAGAAAAGGAAACAAAAGTGGAGGAAGAAGTGAGGGGGAAAAAACAGAGAATCGGAGCTTCCAAAACGGTTTTAAACTTTCTTTCGATGGAGGAGGGGAAATAAAAGAACAGGAAAGCGCAAAATCGAACGGTGAGATCGAGATAAAGGGAGTTTTGGGAGGCGAAGCAAAAAGCCAAAGCGTAATTTAAAAAGTTTCTCGATTTATCGAGAGATCGATGAACGAGTTCTCTCTCGTAAGTTATCTCGCGTTCATTTAACCGGGCATTGGACCTTACAGACGGACTTGTAAGAAGCTCGACGTTCGATTTGCTCGTTAATCGTCGTCATCGTTTAAATAATGGCGAGGATCGTGGCTGTGGTGCATATACGCGCGTGTACCGCGGAACTTTATCGTTACCGACGTTCCTCGACGCCATTTCGAATTTTTAGTCGGCCTCGCGGTCCACCATAACGCTCCAAACGGAGTGAATCGGAATGATCGGTATTGGAAATCGAGAGATCGGTAAGCAATTTTATTTTTATTAGAGTTTGATGAACCTTACCGTGGATCGCGAGGATAAAAAACCAACAAAACTTACAGAAATAACAGAACGTTTGTGTGTGCCTTGCTCCTCCATGTTTCCAGAGTGGTCAAGGATCAGTCTTATCGCACGACGTGACTTGTTTTGCACGACCGACGGACTTACAACTATACTTTCTAACTATAATTAGTATCTAATTTAGAGACCACCTTGTACCACTCGTTGTTGGTCGGGAAAGGAGAGGGGGGAGTGGGGAGTCTGGAACTGGGAGGGGAGTAGTTTCTCGAAGGGATCGGTAAATCCAAAAATATCCAAATAACAGAGAATTGAGGGGACGATTCGCAGGTGTCGACGATAACAAAGGTGAAAATAAAGGCAGCAATTTCTGGCGTATCGCGTATCGCGTGTCTCACGATCGGATTAAACCCGATACGCAACGTTCGTGTCGCTGAAATATTGATATCGAGAACATCGATCGCGTTCGATTTAATGGCTTCCCGAGTGTGCTCGACCCGTCGACTCTATCGATTATCTTCTCTTCGGGGAGGGGGAAAATTTCTTTATCATCGCGGGAAAAAGAAAAACCACGGAAACTGAAATCGAATTCTGATGAGGATGACACGCAACGTGGCATGCACCAGGATACGTAAGATCGAGTTAATAAAAAAAACGGAAATATGTGATGAAATATGTACGGTAGATGAGGTGCAGAAGGAGGAGCCTGCAGTGTACTCAGGTACTCAAACGGTGAGTGCGTTAAACCAGGAAAAAAGATACGATCGAACGATCGCTAGATACTTTCGTAGTTGTGAAAAATTTCAGTTCGATGTTCGATATCTCGTCGCGATAGATCGACTCTCCGTGGTTATGGAACGGTCGACCTATCGCGGGTGTCGAGAGTAGCTATCGACCGCTCGCGCGTCGAGGCTGCGTTCGAGAGTATCGATCGACCGATCGCGCGTCGACGCGGTATCTATCGAACGATACGGAAGAACGAGAATGAACCGAGAATAGAAATGAGAGAGACAAGAGACAGAAACGTAATAGAAATAGAAATAGAAATAGAAATAGAAACGGAACGTAAAACAGGAAACGGAAAGCATGATAGTGTAGAAAAATAGAGAAAAAGAGACGAGAGAGATCTTTTTGGGTAGAGCGAGTAGAGGCGAGTAGGTACCTGGATAGTGGCGACAGTGGAATGTACCTGAAGCGGCCGGTTGGATGGTGGATCGGGCCGCCAAATCGTCGGGTCGCGTGCGGAGCCAGATAGGCGGCCAACGGCGGTATCGCCTTGTTGTTGTTGCTTGGATTGTTGGCGAACTTGACGGTGATCGGCTCGGTCGAGCCCTTCGGAATGGTACCGTTTAATTCTTGGATCGCCCTCTCGGCCTCGACCCGCTGGTCGAACCTTATGAAACCGACCCCCTTCGACAATCCTGTCGGAATCGGTCAGGCTGGTTATTCGACGGGGTTCCCCTCTCGTTTTGGGGTTCGTTCTTCCACGTCTTACGCGGTCAACCACTCTAAGAGACTTCCGGGGAGGGGGGGGCTTAGCAGCTTAGCAGCTTCGTTTGCTAAGCTTCACCAACATTGCAACCCTCTTTCTTATAATTTTTCTTTAAGCTATTTTATTATACAAATTTTAGGTATTTAAGACTGGTTAGTCGTTTTTTAAAGCAAAATTCTGAGACTAATTAAAAGGATATTTATAGGTATTATATGAATGATAAAAATGGAGGAGTGTATAAACATACTATTTGAGATACTACTTTTTCAATATTAAAGTTACTCCTACATTTTATTAGGAATTTATATATGATGATTAAAAAAAGAAACTGAATATTGAGAAGGATATTGAACAAAATACTCATATTATCAGTCTATTTAACATTTTCACTCCTATTTCATTATTAAAGTTACTCCTAAATATTATTATACAATTTATATATATATTAATTAAAAGAAATATTGAATATTGAGAAGAATATTAAACAAAATATTCATATTATCATTCTATTTAAGATTGCACTCCTATTTCAACATTAAAGTTACTCTCAAATATTATTTTACAATTTATACATCCTAAATAAAAAAAGAAACTGAATATTGTGAAGAATATTGAACAAAATATTCATATTATCATTCTATTTAACATTTTCACTCCTATTTCATCATTAAAGTTACTCCTAAATATTATTATACAATTTCTATAAAGAAAGACTGAATATTGAGGAGAATATTGAACAAAAATATTCATATTTTCATATTTTACTCTCAAATATTATTTTACAATTTCTATATATATTAATTAGAAAACAAAACTGAATATTAAGAAGAATATTCAACAAAATAATCATATTTTCATTTTATTTCAGACTTTTAATCCTATTTCAAGATTAATTTACTTCTAAATATTATTATACAATTTTTATATATATTAATTAAAAGAAGGACTGAATATTGAGAAAAATATTGAACAAAATATTCATATTATCATTCAAATTAAGACTTTCACCTCTATTTCATCATTAAAGTTACTCTCAAATATTATTTTACAATTTCTATATATATTAATTAGAAAAAAAACTGAATATTAAGAAGAATATCCAACAAAATATTCATATTTTCATTTTATTTCAGACTTTTAATCCTATTTCAAGATTAATTTACTTCTAAATATTATTATACAATTTTTATATATATTAATTAAAAGAAGGACTGAATATTGAGAAGAATATTGAACAAAATATTCATATTATCATTCTATTTAAGATTCCACTCCTATTTCAACATTAAATATACTCTGAAATATTATTATACCAATTTATAAATACTAATTAAAAGAAAGACTGAATACTGAGAAAAATATTGATAAAAATATTCATATTATCATTCAAATTAAGACTATCACTCCTATTTCAATATAAAGTGACTCCTAAATACAATTATACAATTTATACATCCTAATTAAAAGCAGAAACTGAATATTGAGTAGAATATTCAATAAAATATTCTTATTATCCTTCAATTTAAGACTTTCACTCCAATTTCAACCCTAAAGTTACTCCTAAATACTATTATACAATGTATACATCCCAATTAAAAGAAAGCATGACTACTAAAAAGAATATTAACCAAAATATTATTAACCAAAACAAAGTTACAAGAGTAGCAAATATCATTAAAATTATAATCGAACCGAAATACTGCAATGTAAGTGAAAACTATGAAAATTGCAATGCTGGGTGAAGAGTTCTCCAAAATGGACGCCGGAAGTCTCCGTGGGGAGGTGGTAGTAACCGGAAGAACCCGGAGGGGGGTGCGGCGTGAAAGCCTCATTTTAGTCGACGTGTTGGTTTTGTTAACGATCTATTCGAACGCTAACGAACCTTTCTCCGGTCGTTTAGAACCGTGGCGTACTATCCATCGCCGCGATCAACGACGAACAACCGCAGAATCCGTCGTTGATGCGGTTTTCTAGATCGAGTGGCTCGGTGCGCGCAGATTCGTTTCTTTACGTCGTGTTCTCGAGCGAGCGTCTTTTCGCCGTATGTTTACCGATCGAGTGTGGTTTCCCTGGCCGTTTGAAGCCAAGTTATCTTTTTTAACGCGCGAAAGGACGTGGTCGACGACGCGGTAAAATGGGGGAACGAAAAGAACGATACGCTGTAATCGAGACCACGGTCGCAAAATAAATAATAACGACAAAAAGCGTAAAGAAACAAAAACGGCGCTCGGGAGGAACTTTTTGGATCGTAACTGTTTTGGCAACGTGATCGCGCGAACAAAGCAGCCGACAGGAAAAAAATAAAAAAAAAAATAAATATAAAAGGAGAACCCAATGTTCGCCCTCTGTTTTCTTTTTTGTTGAGAAATAAAAAAAATTTCGATCCTTGAGAGGTTAAATGCAATCGGCTTGAAAATAAAAAAAAAGAACGAATTAACAGCGGCTGCTTTTGTTTCAGCTCGAACGTGAATGAGGGAAAAGAAAAGAGAGTTGTATGAGTTACGTACCGGGCAAATAGTCTCCGCCGCCGGTCAGAATCTGTCGAACTAAACAGAAACGGAAAAAATCATATCACGTTAAAATTCAACTGGCAGCATACACGATTCGCTCGCCCCTGATTCTAAGACGGAGGGATGCGACAAATGATATAGCCGAAGGTAAACGAAAGAGAACGTGAGAGAATGGATAGAGAGTAATAAGAAGACGGCGAAACATCGACGGGCGTTTTTTTTTTTATTTCCGGGTTGGCGTCGAATCACCGCGATTTTTAAATGAAAAGATACACGATTCGACGCCAACGAGATCGAAAAAATGAACCAATATTCCAAATTCTTTTTTAACAACCCAAAAGAGGATGAGATGAATAAGGGGCGAGCGAGTCTTTGTGTTAATTACGCTATTTCTCTCTTCATCCTTAAGTATGCAAGAATTCTCAACGCATCGTGAAACGGTAGAAAACAAACATACTCGAGGTTGAACTGAAAAACAAACGAAAATAATAATAATAATAGAAACTAAAATAGAGGCTAAGAAGTATGGATCGAGGACCGCGCTGTGGAAGTAGTGAAAAGCAAACCAGCAACGAAGGGAGAAAATTAAAAACGGGATGGCAGCGCGTCCTGTGGCGTGTGTAACATAGAAAATTATGCCAGTGTTGGAGGCGTGAGAGAAATAAAAGGAAGCGGCGAAATAAGTAAACCCGTTCGAATCAAACGAAACAGAAAATAAAGTTGAATTTAAAAAAAAAAAAATAGAAATCAATAATTATACGTGTAAAAACAAGAGGGTGCTAGGCCATGAGGCTTGTGCGTACAACTGAGGATTATGTAAACAGAACGCTGATAACGCAACGCAAGTAAAGAAACCCCGATAAAACGAAAGCAGAGGCTTTTTTTTTTTCTCTGATCGCAAACAAGTCCCAGCTGCGATCGTGTGTGTGTGTTTCGCCTCTCGATCACGAGATATCCTCTCTGGTCGTTCGTAAAAAAATGAAAGAAAACACAGAGAAAGAAACCGTGAAAGCAAATGAAAGTGAAACCGATTCGATCGAATCGACGTAACGCAAAAAGTAGCGAAAGCACAGTGTTTCGTTCGCTGCTGGCTACAACTCGATTTTTTTTTACACTCTCGACTCGTTTTCTCGACGAGCATATTCTGATTGCAGACGCACCGATCCACCCCGCGTGAAACGACTAGAACCCCATGGCCTACTCTCTTTTTGTCGATCCTCGATCGGACACGCAAGTTCGCTCGATCGCGAGTCTGGGCTCGCACCGATACCGAAACTACACATTCGTTCCTCGGTTATTTATTTTTTTTTTTTTTTTAGCAGAGACTTTGCTTTATCGGACCATTATTGTCTCTTTCGCCCTCCCGGGGGCCTCGGGGGGCCCCCGTGTTGCACCGCAGGGGCGTTTTTTTCGCTAACTGGTCAACACGATCCTCGTTACTGCCAAGTGACAACGTACGACAACTCACCGGTGATGTTGTCGCAAAGTATCCGCGACGTGATGATTCTGCCGTAAGGGCAGAACAGATTCTCCAAGTCTTGTTGCGTCATGTTCTTCGGCAGACCGCTGACGTAAAGGTTCGCGCCTTTGATCGCCTCGCTGCTCGGTCTCGCGTACGACACCTGGGGAAACCAGCCATTGTTAAATCTTTGTCCAAATCGAAACGCCGCTCGACGCTCGAAGGGCCCACCAAACAGGGCCAAAACTTTCCGCTCGTAATTTCAAATCTAAATTTACCGCGCTTCTCTACCACTCTAACCTCCTTTTCCACGTTTCAAAATGGCGCCATTTAACTTAATCGATATTTTCTTTTCTACAAATAAAGGACGATAGTAACTTTTTTTCGACGTTGGGAACCACCACGGTGGCTAAAACGATACGTTTCTAATTTAAAAATCAAAATTTACCGCGCTTCTCCACGTTTCAAAATGGCGCCATTTAATCTTTTTCTTTTTACAGATAAAGGACGTCACTGATCGATAACCTCGGTTTATATGATGTTTTACAACGCATTTTTCGATGTTGAGAACCACCACAGTGGCTAAAATGATCCATTCATGATTTAAAATCAAAATGGCGCCATTTATTATGTTTCTTTGAGCAAATAAAAAACATTTATTTATCTATTCGTAATAACAAATCAAAATTTACTGGTCTTTTCTACGACTCTAACTTGTTTACTTCCAAGTTTCAAAATGGCGTCATTTTATTTGATCTTAATTTCATTATTACCTTTCTTTGTGCAAATAAAAAACACTTATCTATCTATTTATAATAACAAATCAAAATTTACTGTGCTTTTCTACGACTCTAACTTGTTTACTTCCAAGTATCAAAATGGCGTCATTTGATTTGATCTCAATTTCATTATTGGATGAATAAAGAACGACACTGATCGACGACCACATCGATTTTGGTTCACAAAAACGTTCCTCGACGAACGAGACTAAAATCTAGCTTATAATTAGAAGAAATCGAACACGAGATCTTTATAAATCGACATTTTTTTATTCGGAGCATCCATGGGAAACGAACCTTGATCGTTTTGGTTTGCAGACGAAGACCATTGAGCGTGTTTATGGCCTTCTCAGCGTCCTCCGGCCGGTGATAGTTAACAAAACCATAACCCAAACTCTGACCTGTAACAGAAGAGTGCAAACGAATTTCGATGACGATTTCTTGAGACTAGAGAAACATGGAGGGGGCTATGATTCCAACCATCAGGCGCCATTTTATATTTCGATAATCTCAGAATTTCGCTAAAACGATAAATAATTCATGGAAAACAAAATGGCGTCACGAATGAATTGGAAAGAGTTGAAACTCGCCCCCTATGAAATCTTATCAAGAAATTCTTGACAAATAATTAGAGCATATTTCGTGAAACTTCTTCCAAAGTCTAAAAGGATAAATAATTGGTTTTTAGGGAAACAAAATGGCGTCACGAATGAATTGGAAAGAGTTGAAACTCACCCCTATGGAATCATATCAAGAAATTCGTGACAATTAGCGAATATTTAGCAAGACTTCTTCCAAAGTCTAAAAGGATAAATAATTGGTTTTTAGGGAAACAAAATGGCGTCACGAATGAATTGGAAAGAGTTAAAACTCACCCCTATGGAATCTTAGCAAGAAATTCTTGACAAATAATCAGAGAATATTTCGTAAAACTTCTTCCAAAGTCTAAAAGGATAAATAATTGGTTTTTAGGGAAACAAAATGGCGTCACGAATGAGTTGGAAAGAGTTAAAACTCACTCCTATGGAATCTTAGCAAGAAATTCGTGACAATTAGCGAATATTTAGTAAGACTTCTTCCAAAGTCTAAAAGGATAAATAATTGGTTTTTAGGGAAACAAAATGGCGTCACGAATGAATTGAAAAGAGTTGAAATTCATCCCTATTGAATCTTATCAAGAAATTCTTGACAAATAATTAGAGAATATTTCGTGAGACTTCTTCCAAGGTTTAAAACGATAAAATAGGGAAACAAAATGGCGTCACGAATGAGTTGGAAAGAGTTGAAACTCACCCCTATGGAATCGTATCAAGAAATTCGTGATAATTAGAGAATATTTCGTGACATTTCTTCCAAGGTCTAAAACGATAAATAAGGGAAACAAAATGGCGTCACGAATGAATTGAAAAGGGTTAAAACTCGCCCCTATAGAATGATATCAAGAAATTCTTGACAATTATCGAACATTTCATGACACTTTTAAAATCCAAAACGATAAATAATTCCAGAGAAACAAAATGGCGTCGCGAATGAGTTGAAAAGAGTTGAAAGTCACTTCTATGGAATGGTATTGAGAAATTTGTATATTTATGAGTTCGATACGAGTAATAAATAGAGAAGAACTTTGTATTGCGTATAAAAAGTTCGTAAACGCGGGAAAAGCGCGGGAGTTTTGAATGTGCCGTCGAGGTGGCGCGCTGTCATCGATGTTTCCGTAAAACAGGAAACGGTCGAGATGCAGTACGGCCCTGAGGATCGCGAGGTCGAATATAAAGCAGCGGAGCCTCAAAACCAAACGACGCCCCCGCTACTTCGCCGCTCGAAATAGCGTCGCGACGTCCGCGCGCACGTGCTACACCGGCCACTAACGCACGGAATCCAGACGCGTACGCGCGTACAAATTACGGTGAATTACGCGGCGAATATGCAGCCTCTGGTAAACGAAAAATCACAACATTACGCAATCGTTTGAAACTCGAGAACCCACGGCATAATAATCGCGTACATCGATAGATACACTATTTAAAAATTCATATTCCAGAACCAGTTGTGACGATCTAGGACTTTGGGACTCAGCAATTCTGAAAGATTTGCAAGCCTGGAGAGTCGAATTTTGATCATGTTGAGGACGATGAGACATCGATAGATCTAGAGATGTGAGATAAAACAAAGTAGAATCGATGAATGAGTTTTCACTGTCCTGAGAAGTCGAGGGAGTGGTTGTTGACATTGTGTTTGAACATGTAATTCTGTCGAATATGGGGGGGTTGGTTTGGAGTCGATGGGGTGGACCACTGCGTACGTGAAATTGATGAAACGCTGTAAACCGCGAGATAGCTGACATCTGCCATCGACAGGTGTCCGTTGCTGACGACTTTCGACGATCGTTCCATCCGACAATTTTCATCGAGCACATCAACGTCGTCTCGTCCAGTAGATCCTATCCTCCCCCGATCGTTTCGAGATAGAGCCAAACAAACAGCAACCCCGTGGAGACTAAACACCATTCGCGTGACGTCGTCCATCGACAAACAAACGAATGGCGCGGAGAGACACAACCTACTCCCATAACGTTTTATAGTTTGGAAAAAAGATTTTCAATTTGTAACATTCTAGAGGCTTAATTGCTTGATGATAGATTTGAAAAATGGCGATATTAATTTGTGCACAATCCAATAATATTTTTTTTTATTGTCTCTGTATTTACTATCTTGTATTGGAGGATAATTATTGACAAATGGTGAGTGAAAATTGGGAAAATGTGAGTTTATTAGCAACTTACCGGTGATTTTGTCGCGGATCAATTTACAGCTCTCCACCTCGCCTATGCTGGAGAAGAGTGAACGGATGTCATCCTGGTTCATGCTCTGCGGCAAGTAGTTGACGATCAGGTTCGTCTTGGACTCTTCCTGCGGGGCATGCCCGAGGTTGGAACCACCGTTTTGTTGCACAACCGTGTCCATTCCGTTCGCCATCATTGCACTCTTCTACCGGATCGTCTCTAACTACGTACGAAATCTGAAACGAGAATGCGGCCAAGTTATCGTCGCGTTCGATCATCGCGATCTGTCGAACTCTGACAATGGGTCGTTGGCTCGACCACGCGTCATCGAAATCATCGAAGGCTCCGTGTATCGTCGGAGGCTCTTTCAATGAGATTCGGACCGTGTGTACGTCAGTTTATTAGACGCAAACGGCTGTTGGTAAGAACACGGGAAGAAAACAGACGAGTATAAACACGGGGAGCCACGCGTGCCGACGGAATGAAGCCTCGAAGGACGTAAAAACGTCTGGGCCAAACCAAAACACTGTACACGATGCACAAAGTTTCCTTTCGCGCGACACTCGGTGAACACCGAAATCCGCGAGTACTGTTCTCTGTTTTTGCCCGTACATGTATACATTCGCGTAGCAACAGGCGCAATTTTTTCCAGGGACGAAAGAAAACATTGGGAACGCGATCGCGATCCGACGAGAATTTCAATCTCGTACCGGGTGTTTTAACGTCGAAAATTCGTGGGTTAGGATGCTGACGTAATCTGACAATGACTTTGAAAACACAGCGTGAAAAGAACAGGCGGTGGCGGCGGTTGGCAGGCCCGAGAGAGGGAAGGGTCCGATAGAAACGAGGATAATTTAAAGGGGCGACGACCCCCTGGTTCTGGTTTAAAGGGCTCCGGGACTCTCCCTCGCGATGCCCCCTTCCACCCTCCTGACCAACCACCGTGCTCAATACGCTCGAGATATCTATGGGGTGTTTGCAATCTCTCCTACTTCAAATTTTAATCGAAGGATTCTAATTTCTAAATTAATTTTAAAATTTAATGGTCGCGGGTTAAAAGAAGGTCGAAATTTTTTCCTCTGTACAATACATCGAATACTCCCATCGAAAAAACCGAGTAATCGATGGTCACGAATCGATACTGTCCTTATCGACCGTGCCTGTACAAGTATCGAGGTTTTTTTCTCCGTGCAATACATCGACTACGAAAAAAGCGAGAGGTAATTAATAATCGAGTATTCGATGATCACGAATCGATACTCTCCTCTTTACCGACTGTGTCTGTACAAGTATCGAGGTTTCTTTCTCCGTACAATATATCGAATATTCTCAACGAAAGAGCGATGGGTAATTAAAAAACTAGTACTTCATGGTCACGAATCGATACTCTCCTCTTTATTGACCATGTGTACAAGTATCGAGGTTTCTTTCTCCGTGCAATACATCGAACACTCCCAACGAAAATGCGAGAGGTAATTACAAATTGAGTACTCAATGGTCACGAATCGATACTCTCCTCTTTATTGACCATGTGTACAAGTATCGAGGTTTCTTTCTTCGTGCAATACATCGAATAATCTCAACGAAATCACGAGAGGTAATTAAAAAACGAGTACTTGATGATCACGAATCGATACTCTCCTCTTATTGACCATGTGTACAAGTATCGAGGTTTCTTTCTTCGTGCAATACATCGAATACTCCCAACGAAATCACGAGAGGTAATTAAAAACCGAGTACTCGATGGTCACGAATCGATACTGCCTTGCTTACCGACCATGTGTACAAGTATCGAGGTTTCTTTCTCCGTGCAATACATCGAATACTCCCAACGAAAAAGCGAGGGATAATTAAAAAACGAGTATTTAATGGTCACGAATACTGTCCTTACCGACCGTGCCTGTACAAGTATCGAGGTTTCTCTCTCCATGCAATACATCGACTATGAAAAAAGCTAGAGATCAGCTGATTAAAAAACTGAATGAGTTCACGAATCGATAATATCCAGACACGTCCTCCTTACCGACCGTGCCTGTACAAGTATCGAGGTTTTTATCTCCGTGCAATACATCGATCACGAAAGAAGCGAGAGGTCGGTTAATTAAAAAGTATCGCGTTTGACTGTCGGGTAATTCCACTCGAGACACCCGGTAGGCAGCCGAAGGGACGGAAACCGAGCAAAATAGACGGAGAGAGACGCGGAGGGGGGGAATTATAGGCGACGGCCGTGGGGTGCCGATGGTGTTCACGGTTAAGGCGAATACACACAGCTGCCGCGGACGCACACATATCAATTCGGTAACGGGCTACCGGTGTACATTTTAATTCTCTTTTTCCCTTCCGCCTGTGTGTCTGTCGCTCGTATCAGCTGTCCTTGGGGCCGCCCCACGCAGGGTGCAGTCTCTGTTTCGTGACTGTGGTCACCCCAATCCGACTGACCACTCACTCTCCGGAGATAATAGATAGCTTTTATTATATGCATCGAACGTGCCCACGTTTCGACTATGAGAAAGAAACTGGGACGGTGAAAGCTACCGCCATGAAACTCTGCCATCGACAGGGGTGGCTGACCTTACGCGAGGGACGCGAACCATTCTTGCAAAATCATGGACAAGACCGTTGGAAATTGATCGACATTTTTACGTTCCCAAGATGGGGTTGAATATCGTCGGAGTCGGGGGAAAATGTCAGACTTATCGTAACCCCGCATCTTCAGCGTTATCGATCCGCGTTCTCCTCGGCATCGCGATGTTTTAGGACGTCACGATGAAAGCCGTGAAACCCCATTGTACCCGGGGGCAGGAGGAAGGCATCGGGAAACGTATCGTTCGCCCTGTGACTTCGAAACGCGAGTCCCGGGGGCACCGTCGTTACAATTCACGACAATAGTCGTTACGCGTGGCTGCGTGTACGCACAATGCGAAAACCCACCCCAAACGACCATCGAAAGTCGATCTAGGAAACCCAACCTCGACTGGAAAAAATATTTATTTAATTCCAACCGACTGTATTTATTACTGTACAAAGATAGCGTTGTTTCGGGCAGCCTAAACAATCGTTCGATCGAGCACACAATAGTGCATTTAATTTCCCCGACAACGATCCAACGGATTCTCAAAATAGTGATTTGCTTCGCTAGGCGCGAAAGAATTCCGCGACCATCGAGATCCCCAGGGAGAAGAGGAGGTCTGTGGATGGTAGCAGGTGGGTCGCCGGGGTTAAAGTTCGATTTTCACGTATGTACGGTTGGCAGATACGATCTTCGGCCGGTGGCCAGGTGGCCATGGCGACGGATCATGAAAATCGCGTGGCCGGGACCGATCAATACGAGGCGCGACTACTCCTCGGTCCCTGCCGCGCTCCTTTTCCCTCTCCGTCGCTCCAACGTCCAGCCAGCTACCCGCCTCGCTCCCTCCTACTCTCCTTTCTCTGGTGCCGCGCGCACGAGAGATCCCTCCCCTCCGCCACTCCGAGGGAAACCCCTCTCGCGCTCGCGACGCCCCTTTCCGCGCGAGAAAGCACACACGGTGGACGTGACACGCACGCACGCACGCACGCACGCACGCAAAACGCAGTAGCTCGTGCCGTGGTCGGTGAAGGGGGGGTGTGGGGTGGGGGGAGGCAGACAGTCGGGGAAAGCGCGGCGAGCGACGCGGAGAAAGAACGGACGAAAGCACGCAGAAAGCAAAGGGTGAGAACGAGAATGTGCCACGAACCTCGGCACGGCACGTGCTCCGAATCCCTCCAACGAAAGACGACACGTCGCTAGCGAGAAACTACGAGGAGAAATAAAATATAAGACCCCTCACCTGTTTAATTCTTCACCTCCTTTCCGGATCCGCTATCTACCTTATCGATGTACGCGAAAGCACACGAGACACACACATACACACACAGCAAACGACACAGAGAGAAACACTTTCCTTTCCGCGACACTTCTCTCCAACCCGGTTGTTTTCCTTCGACGTCGTTTATCGCTTTTTTTTCTCCCCCGAGAATGCACACACGCGGAACCCCGAGCACCTCAAGCAGCGAACCTGCCCTGTGCGTTTATGCGGCGTCTATCGCTTCTCTCGCGCTTCGTCCCTGATCTCTAAAACTCTTTCTCTATGGTTCACCTACTACTATCACGCTCTCGCACCGCCGCCCGGAACAGAAGGGGAAATCAATGAAAGAAAAGTACGACGCGAGCGCTCGTTAATCGGCATTTATGCTCGCTTCCTGTGATCTCACTATTTTGCCAGCGACGCGGACACGACAGCTACGAGCAGAACCATCCGGTGGACCGCGGGCCGCCAATGTACTCGCGTTCGTCGTGAAATGAAAATACGGGCCCGGGAGTACGTGTACACGCCGTGATACATATATGCGCGCCAAACCTGTGTATACGCGTGTACGTGTGTATGTGTGTGTATGTGTGTGTGTGTGTCTATGGAAACGATAGAATACGAGTGTGTGTACGTAACGTGTGATGAACTTGTAGAGGATTACGCGAGACTAGAAATTAAAGCGTTAAACACTATACTAAGGAAACGGAAATAACGATACGACACGGGCGGAGGCTGCCTAGAGACTGGACACACCGGCCTCTCGCCGACGGATTGCACCGCTCGGTGGGCTCGTTCGGCGGTACTCGGCCGCGCTCGGACGCGGTCGTGCACCCTCGGCTAAGCCCGTACGCGAACCCCTCGTCCTATTACGTATCTCGTTCCTCCAACGCGCGTTCCCTGCCAAGGGGTTGCCGATCGAACTAATAAGAGACGTATGCGCGTTCTTAAATAAACTGCGACCTCCCATCGACGATCGAACTAGCATCCCCCCCCCTGTGCACTTTAATTTCTTCGAGTTTCCACTAACTTTCGAATTATTGGAAAGCCTATAGAAGAGGTTACAAAGTTTCTAGAAACGAGTATGGACGATATTCCCGACCGGGAGATGTTTGCCAGGGGGTTTCGCTCGAAATGTTTGCAACGTGGCTCCCCGATATTGCTATCCCGTCTCTCTCGTTCCCCTACCACCCCCTGCGTCAGATCATGACCAACCCTTCACGGTTTTTGACCCCCGTCGTCCCCGGGTACGCTATCGCGTCGATACAAGAGTCCTTTTACCCCTCGCGAGAGCCAGCACTCGATCGCTGAACTCGAAACCACGAATTACAATCGTCGAGACCACTGATGGTTGCTTCAAAAAAAAAAAAAAAGAAAAATACTTTTAAAAGAAATCCGCCTCCCCTTTCGCGGAAGGAAAATACGCGACACTTGTACGAGTTTCATTGTAAGTCAAGGGGTGAGAGGTCTTAACCCACTTAAGGGTGAAAAGTCGATGCACCTGTATACCCTCTACGATTATCTCGTTCCTATTCCCGTTTCCGGTATTACGATCACGAGTTTCTCGAAAATTTATGCCCCGTTTTGTGCTTTGGGGGAAACTACCCCTAAGATCGATGGAGTTTCCGGTGTTTTTCTTCGTGGGGATCGAAGAAGCTGGATCCCTGACCTTACCCTGGTCTTTATCGCGCGAAGATCGAGAGCTCGAAACGACGGTGGGCCAAAATTATGCGCCCGGTGACGAAACAAGCAACACTTGGCGGTCGTGCCAATAACCGGCGCCGACTGTGTTTTCGGGGATCCGTGTTTCCGTTATCTCGCGTCACGCGAACACGATCAAACGACGAGAGAAGCATCCCGGGATCGATCGGAGGAAAATGGTGGACCCGGGACGAAACCGAGTCGCGACGCTGGTGCATGCACCAACTGTCCACGAGTGAAATTATAAATACATCCGTCGTATAAACACTATAAATATACGGCGTCTACGTGTGTATAACCTGGAAACAACGTCGTCGATAATATCAGAAACCTAGCCAGAGCGTTTCATTGTAAACGGCTTTACACCGTCGACGGTAATTTTCGATTCTAATTTCGTCGCGATCGATTTCGGGAAGTTTGAAAAATTTATTCCAACGACTCCGCGCCCAATGTCAACGCCGTGGAAACACCATAACGGTGGTGTTGGGAGAAAGGGAGCGAGGCTGGGACCCCGGGACTCGTAACAGATGCGAGACGGTATGCAGAAAAAAAAAATAATATAGGGACACATATGCGCGTCCATTATTCCGCGTAGCTTTAAAACCCAACGGTGCGCGAACGGGGAGGTCGTAACTGCGCGATTTTCCGGAAACCGCCGGCGGAATTATTTGTCGAATTATTATTTTATCGGTTCGATGCGGCTGGTGGATAAAAATAGAAGATTATTCCAGCGCTTCGATGCAAGGGTAGTTGACCCAGTGGTCGATCGGTTGGGTAGACGTCGATTCTCTGATTGGAAAAACTACTTTTAAACCTGGGGGAAAGACGAGTTTTCCTATTCTTTGTAAACTCACCCTTGAGGAATATTAAAATCGTGGTTAATTAATGATTCCTGAGAATTTGTACCCCCCTCCCCCCTTTAGTTTTGTAAATATGTAAAGTTTAGACGCGAGTTTACCCGAATTTTTACGCGACGGGGGATGATCTTTCGTGACGAATCGTTCCATGGAAGATTTACGTTTGCAAGGATCAAAAGGAGGAATCGTAGATCGTGAATCATTCGTAGCGTTGACAAACGCGGTACCCTCTTTCGTTTAGTCATGATCCAGCTGTCGATGGTACGTTTTCGGGGTCCGGCCCCACCTCCGTTCCATCGATCCGACGTGCACGGACATAATTCCGTCGTGTACCAGCCCGCGGGAGCAACAATTCCGCCCGTGAGGTTTCTCCTGGGTCGGTGAACCCCCGGAACGAACAGATTCGTCGATATCTTTGGTATTACTGCTCCGAAAGCTACTCTGGCCCCCAGAAACGGGGCCAACGGACTCCCGAAAACCGATTTTCCCCTCTGATGTGCTCAGTGATGAAACTCAGACTCGTAGTAAGCTCTTTGCTCTTCGATATTTCAGTTTAAACGAAATTAAATATAGATTTCCAAAGATTCTTGTAATTAAATTCCACATTAAGGGGGTTAACTACCCCAATTTCAGTGAAAATTCATCTTCTACTATGAAATCATCGTCTTCTTACTGTAATTTTCGAATATTTGCAATACAGAAAATATATGTCGAACGCATTAGCAAACAAAGTTTTCGAGCCAATGCGGCCTCATCATTGAAGCAGCGCCAGACATAGATACGTCCATAAATACTGGGCTTAAATATACACCTGGATTAAGAATTATAATGGATATATATAAATACCCCAACCTCGGGGAAAATCTATCCTCCTCTATGAACGATGTATCGATCGAGAAAATATCGAAAATATCGAAGTATAATCGATTATCGATGTATTATCGAAGTGCAATCGATTATCGAAGTACAATCGATTATCGAAGTACAATCGATTATATTATCGAAGTACAATCGATTATCGAAGTGTAATCGATTATCGAAGTACAATCGAAAGTATCGAAGTGTAATCGATTATCGAAGTACAATCGAAAGTATCGAAGTGTAATCGATTATCGAAGTAGAATCGATTATCGAAGTACAATCGATTATATTATCGAAGTACAATCGATTATCGAAGTGTAATCGATTATCGAAGTACAATCGATTATCGAAGTACAATCGATTATCGAAGTGCAATCGATTATCGAAGTAGAATCGATTATATCGATATTCCATCGAAGGAATATTTCCACATGTTTTGTTATTATTTATTTACGATGAAAAGGAAAACGGAGGCGCGACAGTTCGGTTCAACGTTTCGAAACATGGCGTACGACGATTCGGACGAGTGTTTGCACGAAAACGAGGAACAACGGCGAATCGATCGAGCGAGGACGTAATCGCCCCCCGCTAATTAAGGCGCGATCGATCGATCCGACGGTTCCCTGTGGTCGCGGGCGTCGAGCCCCGTGTGTCGTTCGCGCGATCGTGTTCTCGCGACGATAATATCGCCAACCATCCCCGGGAAACCCTACGACGCTCCTCGAAGTATGCGCGGGGCGATTGCATAACGTAAACAAACGCTTCCAGGTTGGGGAAAACGATCCAACGCTCGGGATTTAACGCATATTACACCGTTAAAATTGCTAGAAAAAAATTAAAAAAATACCAACACCTTCACTGTCCATGGCACGTATACGGGTCACAGCGCCCACGCTTTTGGATGCGTCGCTGAGAGACCAGACAGTGAACACATTGACGGCGAAACAATTTCCACAAAATACGATATATCAGACTGTAATTATTAAGCAATTACGTTGAACAAGCGTGTAAGGATTGATTCCTTAAAATTCGAGCGCGGTTTAGCGAAACTTTCGTGCAAATGGCGAGAAATTACGGACCCTGGACTTTGAATAACGATCGAACAGGCACGTAGAGGCTCTACGGTCAGTTTGTACGCGAAAAACCGGAAGCGTGGATCGCGTACGCGCAATTAGCAACAGCGCGCGATGATTTATTCAGCCCTAGCCGCGAAGTTGATCGTCGAGGAGTGGCCGATTATCATCGCCACCGTCGTCGGGTGTCTTTCCATCGTTACGTCGCTGTAACTCCCGTCGTAAGGATTATCGAGAGTCTCTGAACTCGAACGAAGTTTCGACAAATTGGTGCGTGGGTATACATCCGCGTAGACAGAGAAAGATAAACCCGGGACTTAATGCTGTGTCTCGTAACTCTGGTAGGGGGAAGGGGGACGAGGGGCGGGGGGCAGTGTGTGTGATGCAATCATATTACGAACGTCGAAAAGGGAGGAAGAGATCGAGGGAAAAAGAATGACGGATGAACGGGGAGAAAGAGAAAGAGAAAGAGAAAGAGAGAAAGAGAGAAAGAGAGAGAGAGAGAGAGAGAGAGAGAGAGAGAGAGAGAGAGAGGGTGAAGAAAGGTAGAGAAGCTCCATTGATTGGTCGGTAGGAACGTTGCAGTTGCCCTGGGGGTATATGAACCCCGGCGATAGCGTTCTCTCTCTCCCTCCCGTGGCTCTTTTTCTTCCACCCTCCCTCCCCCATAGTTTACCCTCGCTACGATTTTACCCCCAAGGCGAAACGCAGGCGCGTCACATGGACCCAGGAACGATCAATACGAGCCTCCCCAACTAGCTGAAACCACCCCTTCCTCTCTCTCCCACTCGTGGACTTTTCTATCCTCCTTCGCTAGCTATCATCCACCCCGGGTTCGCAACCCTCAATCTTTGATATTTCCAGCGGCCAGGCCGGGCATTTTTCCCGTGGAAATATACAAGGACGATCCAACGAGGAGGAGAGTACAGAAGTCCTTTAGCTCGTTTAAAATTGGGGACCATGGGCATCATTTTTTTTGAGAAAATCTAGGTGTTAACTGGTCCTCGGATCAGTAGGATGCAAGCTTTATTATGTTGGGTTCTATTGGTGAAAGGAATGGAAGCTTCAAAGTGGTACCTGAAGGGTTAAACTTTGAGGATAAATATGGAAAAGACTGTCAAGTGTATGCAATTGGTATTCAGGTACTTAGGATGCAAGCTTTATTACTGTGATCTATTGGCCAAAAGGAGGAAGATTGAAACTTGTACCTGAAGGGTTAAGATAATAATAAGGCTCCTATCATAAATATCTAAAAGACTATCAAGTGT